CCTGGGCCATCCCGTGCTGCATGATCAGGAACCGCGGTGGCACTGACCCCCGGCCCCTGGTGCTGGCGTCTCAACAGCTCTAAGTTGTCTGCACTTGACTGCTTTAGAGTGATGTGTTGTTGATTAGTCGTGGAGGTTTTCAAGTCTTACTTGCGTGTAAATGGCACGTGACAGTGCTTGGGTGAGTTTCATTCAGTGCCGGGATGTGCCAGGCGTGTTAAAGCATGTGCTGTGCCGTGGGGGCCAGAAGTAGGCGTGGCCTCAGATCTGTGTGTGCTGTGGGGGTGGCTGGAGGCCAGGTCCCCGTGGGGCTAAGGAGGAGGTGGTGTCAGGTGCGGCTGTGTCGTCCTTTGCCGTTGCGGCCTTTCCTGCCATGCGTGCCCCGTCACGCCAGCGAGGCGTGTCTCCTGGCTCAGTCTGCTGTCTGCACGCCTCCAGACCCCTGCCGAGACCACGTGGTCCTGAAGGCCCGGCTGGACGCTGGGGGTCCGCAGGCACCTGCCCTGACCTGCCCACCCCCGCAGGTGCTGAAGGTGGCCATCCTGGCCGAGAAGTACGCCGTGGACTACACGTGGTACGTGGACACCATCCTGAACCTGATCCGCATCGCGGGCGACTACGTGAGTGAGGAGGTGTGGTACCGCGTCATCCAGATCGTCATCAACCGCAACGGAAAGAGGACCTTTCCGCCAGTCTTTCTCCCGGTGTAACTTTCCCTGTCCAAAAAAAAAAAAAAAAAAAACAACAAAAAAAAAAAAAGAGAGAGAGATCTTTCATTCTAGGCCTTTGCATTTTTACAATAATCCACAGGTAATTCTCATGCATTAAGAGAAACATTGTGGCTTTTCGTCTGCTGTAATGTAAATCTGTAATGTTGATGTATTGCTGAGAGAGAAAGAGAGAGAGAGAGAAGCACACATCCAAGAAACAAACTTACGGATATAAGGTTTCCTGGAAGAGTGGGAAATTATGACTTAAGTGGTGTTATATCTGTGGAAGTTCAAAAAGAAGCATCCAATAAGAGGAAACCATCTACGCTGGCCAGTTTACACATCACGCACTCTTATTCTGTATTTGGGGAGGGAGGCACATAAGTTGTGCTGTTGCTGAGAAGAAGGAATGGAAAAATAGAGTGAAAAAAAATTTTTTTAAAAAGCTCCAGTAATGGATAGAATACCGTTTGCTAATTTCCTTTCACTGAGGCAGGCGTGAGTTGGGGCCCAGCCTGTTTGCACATTGTCCCTGGGGATCACGGCAGCAACAATAGGATTCTGAAAGCCAGACTCGCCTTTCTGTTCTGTGTCTTATGTTGGGATTCTGGGAGCTCTGGTTTTGAGACCATAGATGTGGAGCATAAGGAAAAGAAGTACATGGGGGAGCCCTTGGCCTAGCAGTTATGGCACAGCTAGGGATGCCTGTTATCTGTCACAGAATACCTGGGTGCTAGTCCCAGCACCACTCACGAGTCCAGCTTCCTGTTAATAGGTACTCTGGGAAACATCAGGGGAAGGCTCAATTGCCTGGGTTCCTGCTACCCACGTGGGAGTGAACACTTGTACAAAGGGAGTTCATTTTCTAACTCTTGTCACTCTCTTAATAAGTCATGTTACAGAACATCATAATGTTCACCAGGCCTTAAAGAATATCACTGGGTTGTATCACAGATTCCATGCCGAATGATTGAATTGCATATCTGTAGGACAGTGAAATTTGAGAGCTCTAATAAATAATAGCATAAGTCTTGGGACTGGCGCAGTGGTGCAGTGGGTTACCACCCTGGCCTGCATGCTGGCATCCCACATGGGCGCCAGTTCGAGACCTGGCTGCTCCACTTCCGATCCAGCTCTCTGCTATGGCCTGGGAAAGCAGTATAATATGGCCCAAGTCCTTGGGCCCTTGCACCCACATGGGAGACCTGGAAGAAGCTCCTAGATCCTGGCTTTGGATCGGCACAACTCTGACCATTGTGGCCAACTGGGAAGTGAACCAGTGGATGGAAGACCTCTCTCTCTCTTCCTCTCCTCTCTCTGTGTAACTCTGACTTTCAAACAAATAAATAAATCTTTAAAATAAAAAAATAACATAAGCCAATAATGTTAAATGTAACAGAGATTCATATACCGTGGTGATTAACTGAACATTTAACGCACACAGACTTGTGTGCTACTAACGACCATATGCCTGAGATGATTAGATTATGTTCATTGGGCTTAGAAGTGATGAGACAGAATGAAATGATAGAAAGTAAAGGAAGTGATAAATGGAACTAAAATAATGGAAAATTCTAGAGAAAAATTAACAAACCAAATATAGAGATAATCTCTTTTAGAAATCCTGAAAATAAACTGATGGCTTATCCACTTTAGACAGTTCAGAAATCCCACACTCATCCCCCTTGTTAACTAATATTTACCATGTGAACTTCATTTTGCATCTTGAACCATCAAAATGAACGGAAACACTCTGAGCACAAACCCCTGGGGCTACACTTCCAAAGATTTGCCTTGGAAATCTGAACTTGTGGGAGGGAGAAGCCTCCTGGACTGTGTTGTCATAGTTCAGAGACTTTAAGCTTTCTGTTTGTCACCTTTTGTGCATCATGAGCCTCTTGTAGCCTCAGAGTTTTTGTCCCCAAATGTGTTAACAGCGACTAGTCCACAAGACTTTAGAGGTTAAATTAAATAATGTTGGTAAAGTAATACTCCATTTAGAGAAAAAAGTGCCCCTTCCCTCTCTGTAGTCTTCCTATGGTTGATTAGCAAAACTGAGTTTCATCCTAATTATTTGCAAAGTCACTTTGCCTCTGTCCATTAGAAGTGCTCAGCAATGGATGAGACCTATTTTTAGGGCTTTCTGTCTTGGGAGAAAGACAAAGCATTAAAGTCCTTCTGGTCAAGAGCAAGCATAAATTACATGGCATCACTCAAGATCAGTTTACGACATTAGTAATAGTTACAGGACCTGTCATCATGGATTAGTGCTGTGCAAGAGAAAAGGGAATGGGACATTAGCAGGGTTGAAGGTGAAGGGCAAAGCAGCCTAGTACATGCTGGCAGGCCCAAGGAACACTACACTTACCTGGAAACTGCCTCCATGGTCAAAGACTTGGAACGTTCTAGGTTGAAAGTACCTGCATTTATCAAAGCAAACTATTCCCAATCATAGTGAGCAAAGCAGATGGAGAACACAGAATGGGTAAATTTGAGGTTTCTCAAAGGAAACTAACCATTACCGGAAAGGTATCATTTATCATTTTTAATTATTTATTTCCGTCATTCAATTCAGTTTAGGACACTCTTATAAATTCACATATATTCAAGAACCGTTATAAACATATGCATCACTTTTTGGACAACCATTAAACTATTCCAACCTACTAAAAACCCATTTAAAGATTTGTAAAAAAAATATTTTCTTTGTCATTACTGAATGATGTGACCTATAGATTGAAAACTCTTTTAAGATGCAAAAATCTGTGTCTTGAGAATTTTCAAGCCGTAAACCTAATAGTTTTAAGCCAGCAGAGGGCTCACAGCCATAGCAGGATTCTTCACAAGCAAAGTCCAGTATGAATTGTTGGTGGGGACAAAAGTAGACTTTCATATTTGTTATGAGCTGAAGTGCTTGCTCAAACTCTGTGTTTAATTAAGAAGTATAAAAGGATGAATGAAGTAAAGCCAAACCCCAGTTCTGACGCTTGAGATATAATTTGTTAATTCTTCCATCATGCAAACTGTAATTGGCCACTGCTGTTTCAGTGTGAGGGACAAATGTGCTGGACTCTTGCATCCTGAATAGACACCTGCAGCCAGACACTGTTAATAGCCACATATTTTCCTCTGTTTAGGGCTCAAGGAACGCATTCATATAGTGAGGTGAACAAACCCACCAGACTCCCTAACCCAGTGATGAAGACGTGCACAGCCCAATGACCAACAGCACTTTTTATGATTTAAATTACAATTTGAAACCTAAAAAATATTGAAGGGAGGAAGGGAAAATTCTCTTTATTTTATTCTGTTTCTCCCTGTCTTTTCCCTCCTAAGGAAATCCCTGGCAGATTTTTTTTTCACAATTCCAGTGAACAGTGTACACATAACACTGTGGGCAATTTTATTTAGAGAATTTTATTAATATTATCGTGACAACTCTTGATACAGGAATTATTGATAAGGAATGGTCCTTAACTGGCAAAGCAAATTGACCAAGCATATTAGATGAACATATCACAATTTAGTCAACTGAACAAACTACTTTTGACAAAATTTATTAATTTTCATTTCAGTGATGTCTTTTTCTGTAATGTAGCTCTTCATCTTACATGAGTTTGAAAAGATAAATCCAGCTTTAGGCAGACAACTAATTAATAAATTTTCATGATGACAAACACAAGGGTACCTTCAAATGAAATATACAGATAAGCTTATTTTGGTGCAAAGCATGCCTGAACCCCAAGCATGATTTTTTTTTCATAATATGCATTTTATGTGAACTTTCGACAATCCCTCATTTGCATGAATTTCAAATTTTTTGGCCAAAATTAGCTTATCATTTTAGTTTCATTTTGCCTTAGCTTTTTAAAGTCCTTTGGTATATATCAAAGCACAACTTTAGGAAACATCAGGGCAATGTTGTCAAAAAAAAAAAAAAAAGCCAATGCAATATTCATCCTTTGTTCATTTTTTTTTACATTTTCTCCCTTTCTCTTCTACAAGTCTAAGATGCCATCAGTGAACACAGCTTTGTCATACTTGAAATCATTTGTTTTTCAACTATCAAAATAAAAGTAATTGTAACTGCTTTTAATTTTAATAGAAAGACATAAATGTGAAAGCAAGAAAGCATAAAGAAGTAGTTCACGTAAGCATTACATAAGACAATCATAGTTCCACATGAAGGAATATACATTGTTATGAATGGACTCGAGACTTGTGCACAAACTCAGCTCATTTCCACAGGCTGGAGGCAAGTTGTTTCATGCTTCTCACTCCCCAGAAGGCAACACAAATGGAGAAAAAAATCTGAAGAAACAGAACATAAAGAAGAAAATCAAGTAGAAGTAAATCAGTACTTTTGTCCAACTAAATCAAAAAATCTTAGCGGAAAACGAACATCAACATTTTAAAAAGCTAAATCATTTAAACTGAATGTAGCTGTTATTCACGAATAGAATTCAGCCAATTCAACTTAAAATGTGCTATTACGTGAAGACAGAAACAGGAGGAAAACGTTTTGTTTCTCTGGCTGTTTTCTTCTGCTCACAAATCTGAGTCATTTCCAGCGATGGGGTTAGCATCAGACAACAAATGACATAGAATTCTCTTTGCATGTGGGTGGGGCTACTGCAGGCCCTATGCACCTGAGGAAATGACGTCATTGCTTGTGTGTAGGAACCCTTTGGAATAGGAGACATGAAAACACTGGGAAAGAATCTTTGCTGTCTGAGGCAACTTGACCTTGCTTCAGAGGACTGCATCCAACAGGAGTTACATTCTAAGCACCACAGCTAACCTACCTTCCTGGGCTTTTGATCTTATCAGGTGTGAAAATGTAATGGCAAAACTCTTTTTCAGATGAAAGACATAACTAAATCATCACATGCAGCCTCCAGAGCACACTGAGGCCGCTCCCTCACGCTTAGGCAACAGCAGAAACTCAACAGTAAATCTCAAGTCAGATGCACGGAACGCTTGAGGTCTAGGGATTCTACCAAGAAGGATGACGGTCGTGGCTATGATTGTCCATTTTGCATAATCTGAGCCCTACAATGCCCGTTTACCCACGTCTTCTACTCCTGAGACAACAGCCAGGTTATCCAAGCCTTCCACTCCTCCTGCGATAACACCAGGTCATCCCACCCTTCTGCTGGTCCTGTGAGAACATCCGGGTTACCCACGCCTTCTACTCCTCCTGCTGGAACACCAAATCAGCCCACCCTTCTGTGCTCCTGAGATACCATCTGGTGTCAGTCACAGTCCCTGCACCCCTGAGATCTTCCTAAGCCAATGCCACGAGCGTCTCGGGGAGTCCGGCCAGCAGACTCAACCCAGGGCCCACGACCACGGTTTCTCGGGCGAGAAAAGAACGAACGACGTTCATCCATCTTCAGTAGACTTTTTATTAGAGAAAGTAAACATGACAGAGGGAGGAGGAAGGGAGAGGAGAGAGAGAAAGAGAACTTCCTCCTTACACCTGTGGCTTATATACAAAATGCGACCAATCAGGAGCAAGCAAGAGTCCATGCATTGGGCACACCAATCCGGTCTCTGTTCACGTGAAAGGCACACGTCGTTCGGCTAATCAGGTGAGGTGTCACGCAGCAGGCAGGCAGACAGACTCACTGCGGGGGTCCTGCCACCATCTTGTTGTTTACCGCAACCTGGATCCCTCTGCCTCCGGAGAGCCCCACCCGTATTAAAGCCCCCCGGTCAAAACCGAAAGTAAAAACCTCCGCCTAGCGATACCGCCGCGGACTATTCCCCGAAAAGCCAACCTCCCCCTTTCCCTTCCTGTAGCTCCAATCACTAAGGGAAGGGGCTGCTTTCCCCACCTCTGTGTTAGGGGTGTGGCAGTTAGAATGGGGAGTAAAGAGAGCTTTGTGTGAGGATTTCTCTGTATTTTTTCTTGTACAAATTTCCTGTCAAAACTACTAAAATAGGATAGGTTCTCCCCAGGAAAACTATCACTATTCTTGGAAGATCCTTCAAAATATCACAGGGGCGCACGTTCAAGTACTAAGAGGGAGGCACAGAAGCTAGTGTTCTAGAGTTGGAAACTAAGGTAAAGCTGGAGCCATAAACTGAGGCAGGACAATGCACAGAGAATGCCCCCAACCAGTGCTCAGTTTACTACTAAAGTTTGAATAATAGCAAGGGATCTACCAATGATAATAAAACAAAATCACTCCCAACCGCTGATGTTTAGATTGATGACTGAGTTGTTCCAGCTTCATGTGAGACTTCTGGTTCTTCCTAGAGAACCCTCATCCTTTATATTAGCTAGTCTGATAGCTCACTTCTGATCTACACATTCCTTCTGGCCTATAACACTCACAATATGAAAAGGTATGAAAAATAAAATCAGCAGCAATTCCGAAGTTGAAGTCAAGAATAATATTAACATTTTGGAGTTGCCTCAGAAGTCAAATACAATATATTTAAAAGCTGGACTCGATTTTGTTTCTTCTGACTGTAATTCAAGAGAAATGACCTCATGGGATTTCTCACAGTGGTGCCAGGTAAAATAATGCCAGGATTGGAGAAATACATGTGAAAGCTTAGACTTTGCAAAGAATTGTCTTTATGGATGTGGATTGGCTAATGGTGACAGAGATGTGGCTAAGAAGACAGCCACTCAAGTGAGATGGAGGTGAAAAGTCGTTCATATTGGAGCGAATGGCTGCATTTAGATCCAGAATATTCTAAAAGCACTTAATAGATACCTTGTGTTGTACAAGGTACTGGAATCTGAAATATATCTGGCAAAAGAAATTTTATGGGTTTTTTGAATCTCATGTCTATAGTTGCATGGATCAACCATGGAAAAAGGCTAAGGACTATTATTTCAGTGACAACTTGAAATCTGTATGTAAAAATGTGGGTGTCAGAATTTCCCTCTTTCCCACTCCTTATCCCCAGTCCACCCATTCTTTCATGTGGATGCCCGGTAATATTAAGAAGTCTGACCTAAAGAGAGTGGAAGAGATTGCAAGGCTAGTTCATGATGTGCTAGTTAATCTGCCAGCACACAACTAAATCTCTCCACTTTTGGAATTGTGATTTGAGTTTTATTCCCTGGAAGACCCACCCCTAAGTAAACCACAGAGATTGTCCCTTCTTGGTTATCTAAAATATGCTTAACTTCTTGTCCAGAATGCAGTGATACAGTTTGCAGTTCCACTTGCTCTTCTGTCTTGTTTGTTGCTTTGGAGCTCCTGCATAGGAGCTGATGAAGCACAGGGCCCAGAAGCAGATTATGTGGTTGTGCAATGGAGACCCTCACCTGCGCCAGGGTTTGTCCTGGCTGCCTCTTCTAGTTTATGACATTGAGTTGTCACAACAAACCTTGAGGAATTGGTATCTGACAACTGATGAGGAAATGAGAACTCAAAATTGATGTGGTTTACCAAGAAATCACAAAGCTTTCAAATATTAGAGCTGGGAAGATGTGTTACATTGACTTAGTATCTTCAAATCTGAAGATTCAGTCCCATAAATATCATCATCCATATGATGATCAATCCATTTCCATTAGGAATCACCTAGATTTTCCTGGGTATTTGTTTTGTATTGTTTTGCTTTGTTTTTTAAGTCAGTAACTGCTAGGTTTCTAAGACCTTTTCACAATCAATGTTTCAAGAACAATTGGAGTTTTTATATATAATGAAATCCAGATTGGCACAAAATCACAGAAATTAAATAAGTGGATATACCCTTCTAAAAGTATGAACTACCTTGAAATAATTACCTAGTTTTATTGCAAACTGTTTGCATAGATCAATAAATTTTCTTTCATATTTTGAGTGTGTGTTTCTATGTATATGTAATATACATTATAAATATAATGTGCACTACATATATAGCATTAGGCTAGAAAATTATTCAGCATAGACTCAACCACTTAATTATAGCAGTGATTCCATTTTAAATTTTCCTTATCCAACTGTTTTCCTGACTTTTGTGTGAAGCTATTCATTCTAAGCTTTCAGAGTTGATCACATTAAATATGTAACTTTAAATTTTGGTTCATTGACATGTTTCTCAATCAAATATTTATTAAATGAAGATAGGAGAATTCCCAGTTAGGCAAATAGCATAATAAATGGAAATTCCAGTATGTTTTTTGCAATATTCTTCTGAGATCTACAGATATGATGTTTCTGGATACGTATGAACTCAATGTACACTTATTTTGTCCTAGGTCTGAGCAAGTCCATGATTTTCACAGCTGGATGCAAAATAGGAAACAAAGGAAGTTCATTCTCAGTGTCAAGCCCTCCTTGTGCTAACACATCATTAGTGGCCCTTGTCTTCAGTCCGTTTCCTTGACTTCCCAGGCATTTCAACTCGGATGCCTGAACCTTGGCCTGTACAGATGCTCTCGACACTTCCTCCACTACTTTCCAGAACCTTCATCAAGTGGCAGGTGGCTAATCTAAGCCACTAATCCATATTAAAATGCTAGTGGGACATGGTGTGCTGTTCTGCTGCCCCTCCCAATTATGTCTGTGTTTTAAGAGGCTTGATTCCAAACGGCTGTAAGGACGAGGAGAGGAATTGCCTCTTAAAGGTGAGAGAAAATCATCCCAGAAGCTGTGGTTTTTGCATGTGGCATGTCGGCAAAGCACAAAGCCAGTACATTTGTCTTGTACCAATGTACATGTCTGCCTCTACTGATTTTAACCCACACATTATGTTATTAATAAATGACTTCATGAGCAAAGGAAGTCGAATATAACCTAGAGCTTCGGGCAATGTCAATTACAACTAGCACATTCCACAGCCTTTATGGCACTGATAAAATGAAGTACACTTATCAACTCATCTAACCTTTAGTTAAACTTGAAAATAAAATGAAAGCCTTAAAGTAACTATTCATTAGACAAATAAAATCTCTGAAATGGCTAAAAGCCATTTTGATTCTCAAACATGGATACTTACTGTCACAAATATTTAAATGGGAAATATTCACCGAGATATCAAGCTACTTCAAAGAGCTTATGAAAAATGGAATTAGAAGACAACTTTATTTTGTTACAAATAATTAAAATCCTTGCATGTTTTTTCATACCACACATTGTCTGCGAAATTTCTGAAGACCTCTTTTATATTTAATTTAATTTATACCTGTTGGCAGTAACAGTAAACTTATGTGTATACTCCTGAGTCACTGATAATTTGAATAAGTGTTTTGTTTATTTGTATAGTTTTATATTCTATCTTGCCAAGGAAAAAGCTAGATTTACTTTAGTTATGAAATGACACTTTTGTTAAAACTTGAGACAGTCACCTTACAAAATATT